CAACTTCAAGCAGAATCGTCTACGTGTAGACAAGGGGACCGTAGCCTATCTACATACTACTCAGCCCTTACATCTGTTTGGAAGGAGCTAGACTATTATCAGACTATTGACTGGAGGAATGATGAAGATGCACTTGACTATAAAAAAACTTCTCCCAACAATGGATTTTTGCTTTCTTGCATGGGCTGAATCCGGATTATGAGCCTCTCCGGGTGCAGATTTTGGGAAATAGGGAACTTCCTTTAGTTCTGGAAGTATATGCTTTAGTCCAACCTGAAGAGAGCAGGAAAAATCTCATGAATATTTCTGAGGGGGAGCAACCTATTGCCCTAGCTGCAAGAGGGGTAACACATGAATGAAAAAGGGGGAACCAAGGAAAGGTGAAGATAAAGACAAATTGTGGTGTACTCATTGCTAGAAGCCTAGACACACCCGAGAAACTTGTTGGGAGTTAGTGGGGAAGCCCAAGTGGGCAACCAAAAATCAAGACACTTCAAAGAAGCCTCCTCAGAAGAAGTTTACTTCTACAAATCTGGCCATAGAAGACTATCAGCAGAATAATCAGACTACTGTTTTTCCCCAAGAACATCCCAGTGGTTCCGATCCCAAGGAAGACATCATCAACTCCTTAAGAGATCATTTGGAATTGTATGGTAGGTGCTTCCGCATTTCATGTGTGTACCTCTGCTCACGAGTCACCTTGGGTCATTGACTCAGGGGCATTAAACCATATGATTGGTAAGTCCAATCTCTTTCAGACCTACACTCTTTTCTCTAGAAGGAATAAAGTGAGACTTGCTGATGGGTCTCTATCCACCATTGCTGGTCAGGGATCTGTATCCCTTCCGGATGGCCTTGTCTTATCCAATACCCTTCATGTTCCTAAGCTTCCTATTAATTTGTTATCTATAAGCAGTATTACTCAGTCCTTAAATTGTTGTGTAACCTTTTTCCCCCATTTTTGTGTTTAATAGGATTTAACCTCGGGGAGGACAATTGGTAAAGGAAATATGGTTGATAGCCTCTACATCTTGGAGAATAAAGCTGGTCCTGTAGCATCAACCTCTATGAGTCTTATGAGTCAGTCTACAAACAATCAACTATGGTTATGGCATAATCGCCTTGGTCATTTGTCCTTTGAGTTTTTGAAAGTTGTGTTTCCTGAATTGTTCAAGTTAGTGTCTATTACTAGTTTGCATTGTCAAGCGTGTTAGTTGAGCAAGCATTGTAGAACAACTTTTTCTTCTAATAATAAAAGATCTACTTTGCCTTTCCATGTTGTTTTTTCTGATGTTTGGGGCCCTGTAAACATACCTACTGAGGGTGGATACAAGTACTTTATCAGCTTTATTGATGACTATTCGAGATACACTTGGCTATATCCCATGCATTCGAGAGAAGAGGTTCCCAAGATTGTGCAAGATTTCCACTGCATGCTTTCCATTCAATTTCATGTTGAAGTCCAAATCTTCCAATCGGATAATGCGAAGGAGTATTTCCATCATGACTTAGCCGAGTTCTTGTCTTCTCATGGATCTCTTCATAAAAGCTCATGTGCTAGAATACCACAATAGAATGGCGCTGCTGAAAGGAAGAACCGCCACCTCCTCGAAGTTGCCCGCAGTATGATGCTTCACATGCATGTTCCAAAACGTTTTTGGGTTGATGTTATGATGACTGCAACTTATGTTATTAATCGTATGCCATCGCGCCTCCTACAATTCAAGGCCCCACATCAACTTCTTTTTCCTCAATCCCCTTTTTTTCCATTCCTTTATGTGTGTTTGGGTGTAAATGTTTTGTTCATGATCTTTCTCCCAGCCAGGGTAAATTGTATACCAAATCTGTTCCATGTGATTTCTTGGGTTATCCCTCTTCCCAGAAAGGTTACAAATGCTTCAATCTGGTCACACATAAGTACTTTGTGTCGATGGATGTGTCATTCTTTGAATCTGAACCCTTCTTCCATGCCTCTCCTTAGGGGAGAATAGTGTGAAGGAGGAGAGGCAAACTCCAACTCTTCAAATTCCTCTTCCTTCTATTCCTGGCTCATCTCCATTTCGTGTCTTCTTGAGGCGCCGTAAGGGACAGCTGAACTCAAAGGTTGTGGAGCAACTTGAGACTATACATCCAGCACCATCTGACTCCTTGAAGGAAAATCCAAGTACCCTTGTTCCTTTTGATATTACTGAACCTATTGCTATTGATGACTCTACTAATGATCTTGATATCCCAATTGCTCATAGAAAAGGGATTCAATCATGTACTACTAAGCATCCTATTGCTTAGTTCTTATCCTACAAAAACATTGCTCCTTCATTTCGTGCCTTTTTGACTGTCATTGATTGTGTCTCCATTCCCAAAAGTGTTGCAAAAGCCTTATGTATACCTGAATGGACAGAGGCAATGAAGGAAGAAATTAGTGCTCTTCACAAAAACAACACTTGGGAGTTGGTGAATCTTCCTGAAGGAAAAGAGCCAGTGGGTATTCACAGTAAAGCACAGAGTAGATGGGTCAGTTGAGAGGTATCAAGCCAGGTTAGTTGCAAAAGGGTATACTCAGGTGTATTGAGATTTTGTCCCGGTTGCTAAAATGAACACTATTCGGATTATACTATCCTTGGCTGTTAACTTTGATTGGGAGCTCCACCAACTGGACATAAAAAATGCATTCTTAAATGGAGATCTAGAAGAAGAAGTGTACATGATTCAACTTTCTGGGTTTGTAGCACAAGGGTGTGAAGGGAAAGTCTACAAACTAAAAAAATCTTTATATGGTTTGAAACAATCCCCAAGAGCCTGGTTCAGTAGATTTCACTTGATCCTTCAACAAATTGGGTTCAAGAAGTGCCAATATGACCATACTTTATTTGTCAAGAGAAATAAGAAGAATGTTGTGGTATTAATTTTCTATGTTGATGACATTGTGATTACAAGGAATTGGGACTTTGAGATTAAGAAGGTCAAAGAATCCCTTGCTATGCGGTTTGAGGTGAAAGATCTGGGACAACTACGTTATTTCCTTGCTATTGAGGTTGCTCACTCAAAAAGGGGCATCTTCATTTCCCAAAGGAAGTATGTCTTAGATCTCTTGCAAGACACTGGAAAGTTAGGAGCAAAGCCTGTAGATTCTCCTATTGAGGAAAACCATCGGCTTGGTGATTGTAGGAGAGAACCCGTGATAGATGTCAAGAAATTTCAAAGGCTGGTAGGAAGACTTCTCTACCTATCAATGACTCAACCAGATATAGTTTATGTTGTTGGTGTACTTAGCCAGTTTATGCATGCACTAACATCCTCTCATTTAGAGGCAGCCGAGAGGGTGCTCAAGTATCCGAAGAGTATCTAGGAACTGGGTTACTTTTCAAGAAACATGATCATATGAAAGTGGAAGTCTACACAGATGCAGATTGGGCTGGGGTATTTGATGATAGAAAATCAACTAGTGGATACTGTACCTTTGTTGGTGGAAACTTGGTTACTTGGAGAAGCAAAAAACAAAGTGTTGTGGTTAAATCTAGTGCTGAAGCTGAATATAGAGCCATGACGCATGGAGTTGCCGAAGTACTATGGGTAAAGAATTTGATTAGAGAGTTGGGTCTCTCTGTTGATGGCCCAATGTCTCTCTACTATGACAACAAGGCAGCCATTAACATTGCTGCCAATCCAGTTCTTCATGACAGGACCAAGCATATTGAAGTTGACAAGCACTTCATAAGGGAGAAACTCGAAAAGGGGGAAGTCTGTACTCCTTAAATTAGTTCCAAGGAACAACTAGCAGATGTTCTTACAAAGGGCCTTCACTATCTACGACATAATGAACTATGTAAAAAGTTGGGTATGATTGACATATATGCTCCAACTTGAGGGGGAGTGTTGTAATATGTAGCGGCCTGTGGCCTAGTAGGGGCATTTCTACCCTTTCCTCTTGTAATTTCTTATGAGCTGTCGCCCTAAGTATATATTACCAACTTAGGTACCGCCAGCTTTAGATTTGAATACAATCTCTTTTTTATCTCTTCTCTCTTCCTCTCTTCTCTCTTCTCTGTCGAACTACACTCTCTTTAGGAGAAGTTTCAATGACTGGGAAATTCGGCAGATGGCAGATTTTCTTAATCTGTTACAAGACCAACAGCTAAGTTTTCAGGAGCAAGATTCAACAGTTTGGAAATGGTCAAAATCCAGAGAATTCACAGTCAAATCCTTCTACAATTTTCTGGTGGGAAGGTCTGAAGCCCCCTTTCCCAGCAAGGCCATTTGGGGGAGCTTGGCTTCTCCAAAAATCAAGTTTTTTGTTTGGGTGGCAGCTCTGGAGAGGTGTTTGTCCAAAGAAATGCTGCTGAATAAAGGTCTTAATCTGCCAGTTTGGAGGTGCTATTTTTGCAATATGCAAATGGAAGCTTCTGGGCATCTCTTCTTCCTTCATTGCAAGTTTAGTTCTGCAGTATGGGCACAATTCTTCAAATCCCTGAATCTAAGCTGGTGCATGCCAGCCTCAGTTAGAGCTCTGCTAGAGGAGTGTCGTATTCAGGGGCTGTCAAAGAAAGGAAAGTTATGCTGGGCTTCCATCCCTCAGGCAGTTATGTGGGCTGTGTGGTCAGAAAGGAACAACAGGATTTTTGAGAAAAAATCTACTACTGAAGCTGAGCTCATTAACTTGGCAATAGAGGTTTTGAGAAGTTGGATGTCTATATGTAATGTTTCTAGAGATAGTATATCTGATTATACTTTTCTGCGGATGGCCTTTTTTGGAGGTCCTTCATTTTGTACAGATTCTCTTTGTACACGGGACCTTATATTAATACTATCATACTTTACCTTCTTCCAAAAAAAAGCATGATTGCAATACTTCATTTTTTTTTCTTATAATGCTACCTGAGTTTCTGCATCAACTTCAGCCCTTATTGTTATTGATAATATGTCTATACATTTATTTATTCATTGTTCTGCATATATTAACACATTACTTGTGTAATTTTATTTATTTATTTTTACTGCAGAGTGAAGGAACTAGAAAAATTATTGCGCTTGGTACAATACCATTGGCAACAATTGAGAAGTTCAGCAAACAAGTAAGTTTGTTATTATAATATTGTTCCCATAATATGCCATCCATCCTAGAAAAACTATAATAGCGTTCTCATTATTGCCCTTCATATTGTCATTTTGTGCTCTTTGATCATCTAATAAGTATTGCTGGATAAATAGTTTGATTGTATGCAATGGCGACATCTGCATCTTTCTATTTTTTGTGGATTACTGGTACTATGTTTTGGTTACCCTTGTTTATGTTTATCAATATTTATTTATCCATTCGAAATTTATCTTTTTTCTAGCATTTATATATAAATTTCCACTCATATCTAACTGGAATTTAGGTTCCAAAGAATCCCTCTGGCCCTCGTCAATCTGACAAGACTCCATCACGTCGACTTCTTCAGGTTGTTGGTATGTCACTAGAGTAGTTATATTTGGTTAATCTATGTACACTATTTTTTTTGATGAATAATCTATGTACACTATTTATTTTCATTATCTTATTAAATTGGTGAATATGTATTGTTTCCATGCCACTATCCTAATAATGTTCTTGCTTCTAGGGTGAATAATTTTAGTTCAAGTTGGCCTTTTCATCTTTTTTTTTTCTTGGTTTGGTTAGTTTTTTCTACTTCTGAATTTGTTATGTGTTGCACTAGAACTAATTAGGGGTGCAATCTAGTTGAGTCAATTTGATTTTTTTAAGAATAAAGAAGAGAAAATTTTATTAAAAAAGAAACAGTACATTCCAATCAGGTGTCAAGTCAACATACCAAAACATCAAGCCAAACTAAAAAGATTCACATTGCAAAGCTTGGATCTAAAGGAGACCCTAAAAGATCTCTATAAAATCTGAACTGGTGATTTGCTCAAATTCTTGAAGAGATAGATCCCCACATGGAAATGCTTTCCACCCCAGGCCACAGTCGCTTCCAAGCTCTTTCCAACCAAGAGCCCAGCCAGCTCCCCTATTTTCCTGAAATTCCTGAATCCCATATTATGGCCAACCCCCTTGCCAACCTAACCACATTTTACTCCACCCACTCTCCCCAACCTCTCCTCCAAATCTCGTTTATCATTCTTATGGCATAAGATTCCAGCTTCGTTTCCTGCAGGAGCACACTACATCAAGCTTCTGATTTCAAATCACATTACTCACCAAAGACCTCCGGCTCCCTTCCCTCAATCCCCTAACATTCCATCTTGGCATCTTCATTTCCCCCCTCCCTCCCTCTTCTCTTCCTACTACTCAGTGCAATTTCCCTTACTCTTCATTTACAGTACTTGAGCTCCAAGTACTCTAAAAAACTCGCTACTCAAAACTTGGCTCAAGCTTGATCTACTTTTGTTTTTCCTACTTGAACTTGATTAGATTCAACATGCTCAAGTATCAAATTGACTTGACTCAGTTACCATTGAGCTTGAATACTTGTATTATACAATTTTAATTAACAATGAAAAAGATTTTTCTTGTTAAAATAGCCAACCCTAGGTAAAAATAATCAATATATATTAAATAACATAATATTGAGAGTATTATAAATAAAAATATAGTGAAAAATTAATATTTTATTAAATACTTGATTAGGCTGGCGAGCCGCTGGGCCAAGTATTACGAAACTTGAACTCGACTTGATTAACTACTCAAGCTCGGCTCAAACTTGATTATCTGCGAATCACTTTTGAGTATTCAGTGAGTCGAGCTCTAGTAGCACAACTCACTTCACCTCTAGGAACCAATGCTTAAATAGAAGTGTATTTTGTTAAGTTTTTTTTTTTTTTTAATTTATTGATAAATGCTCACGAATTGATATTGTGTGAGAAACTGCTGTTTTTGTGCTTTAAGATTCAATAATTTTGTGCTATAGAAATGATCTTATTGATGAAATTGTTGTCTAGCAAACTTCTTTTTTGTTTGTCAAAGTTCATTCTTTTAGTTTGCATATCCTGCATTTCTCTTCTCCTGTTTTGAACTTTAGGTATGGATATTAGGAACATCTGATGTTCTATGTGGCCTTTTCTTCTTTTTTCCCTAACAAGAACAGTGTTGGATATGCATACATCATGTATTGCTTTCCTGGCATAATAACATTACATGTATCTCATGATTCTCTCATATTTTCCTTATAAAATGCAGGTAAAGATATGAGAATAATTGTCTTTGGATTTCGTCCTCGAACAAAACAGGTCAGTTATAATGTCTTTTATGGATATTTTAGGGGTTCATCTTACATTCTTGATGGTGTCACTGAATAGAATGGAATGGTGGAACAGAATTCATGAAGATGACCCCTTATAGTTGGGGCGAGGCTTTAATCATATTGATGATCTTACATACTTTTAAGTGCTACCTCATCATCCTCAGAAATACCTTTTAATATTTCTTTTAGTTTTAATCATTTTTTCTTTATTTTACTAAAAAAAATACTTGTTCTCTGTAGTATGTAGATGGAAGCAGCAGATCTGGATGGTTATTTCAAACTAAATGCAATTAAACGTGTGCCCAATGGCCTTATGATTTTTTATTCTTGATGAACAAGAGGAGTTTCATTAATAAAGAAACACCAAATTGATGGTAGCCTTCACTAGGGAATATATTAATTCCAATAAAATTTCATGTGGCTACCCATGAAAGTGGAAATGGAAATATGTAATGCAAATGATCTCTTGTACTCCACATAGTGCTGGTAGCGTTCATTGAAGAATATGTCATTTCGGGTAAAATTTTGTGTTGCTACCCATGGAAATGGAAGTATGTCATGGAAACATTAGGGAATTTAGGGACATTTTAAACCAAATTGATGATCATCATTATCATCCAAGCCTTATCCCAACTATATGGGGTTGTCTATCAAAGCCACTCTATCAAAGCCACTTAAAAAACACCCAAAGAGTCCTCATCTCAACTCTCTTTATGCTCAAGGACACCATTAATCTGAGCCCCTAAAATTATGTTAACAAATCTGCTCTGATGAAGTTGACATTCCAAACTAGGGATGTCAACAGGTTGGGTTTGGTACGGGTTTGTCTCAACCTGAACCTGGCTTGAGGACACATTAACCCGGCCCAATCCATTCTGCCTCATATATGCAATGTTAGCGGGTCAGGTTTATCTCAACACGAAACTGACCCAAAACCCAATAAGGCTGGCCCCAATCCTAACCCAATAGGGTTGGGTCAGTGGGGGTTTACCACTTAACCCAATCCATTGACATCCCTAATTTGCAGTTCTACCAAGTGCACCATGATAAGCACTTTACTGCAATCTCTGAGAGAGATCTACTTATTGCAGAGGGACCCTAGGTTTGCTAGGGAGCAACCATCAAAGTTGAGCTTGATGGCTCCTTGTAATGGAAGTACCTACTCTTAGACAATATGGTGCTTAGTGATGTGAACCATCCAATCACATCGACATTCCAAATCCATGGTTTTCAAATGATAGAGAAGGATTAAATACCGAACAAACTTTTGGTATATAAAGTTGCAGATTGTATCATGGTCTTACCAATGCTGGAATTCTACAGTGAGATACTAACAGGCATAGTTGTCAAGGCGATGCCTAAGCGACAAGGTGGCCTTGGAGGCTTGCCTCGCCTTAGTCGCCAAGCAGTTTTGCATACTGTGTAATAAAATACTTTTATATTGTTATTTTTTGAGATTATAATTATAAAATAGACATTACTAAAGAAAAATATTCATTTTTTTTTGTGTTTCTAAACTAATTTCTTTTTATTATTTTCTTATTTGTTAGGGTTTAATCAATACGAACATTGCTAACTGCTGTATTGAACCCTCAATGACTTCAAAATCTGAACCAATAAGGGAAGAACTTGAAATTTTGTCTAATCAACACATTTCTTCTTCTTCTTCTTTTTTTTGATGAATGATAATAAATTTATTAATTCAGAAGCAGATTTTGAGTGAGTTCATACAACTTCTCAGGGAGAGGCGCGAGCTGCAGCCCCTCCTTGAATCTTACAAGTAAACTAGGAAATAAAAGCAAGAATCACAATTGAGCCCAAAACAATTCTTCCCTATTTACCCCTTGCTTAGCTAACACACCTGACAAAGTATTTGCTGATCTCCCCAACCACTGTACAGTGACCAACATATTCCTTGTCAACCAACTAAATTTCTTCATTTCATTCTTGTAACGCCACATAGCCTCTTCAGGATTTTTCAACCAACCCACCACCACTTTGGAGTCCCCCTCGATTGTTAGGTGTTGTACCCCCAGCTGTTTTGCAAATTGCACCCATTGTACAATAGCTAAAAGTTCTGCCCTGATGGAGTCCCCAATTCCCAAGGGACCTGAGTAGAGCAACAAAATTTCTCTCAAAAATGAACAGTGTTGCCAGAACAAACTTCATACCAGATAAAATTGAAGAATTAAGGAAGGGTATTGTGAAAGGCCTTCCAAAGTGCTGCTAGGTTAGCTTGCCTTGATACACCAACATCCCATCCATTCTCTGACCTCCAATGAA